CCCTCTCTTGCCCCTGCCCTGCAGAATCACCTTGCCTTCCTCCCTGCCCTTCTTGTTCCCACTCCACTTTTTATCTGGCCTCAGTTCTTGGCGGGGTGGGGTGGGGATATCTCAGGTAACACCTTCCAGGCTGTGTGGGGGTGAGAGGATGGGAGAGGCATGACTTAGGGCATTGGCTCAGGATGTGGCCTTGGCAGTATCTCTTCCCTGCCTGAATTGACTGTTTTGGATTGGGTTGTCCAGGCATGTTCCCTCCCCTTTGACTTGGCAGCTGCACCCCAGCTCATTCCTTTAGGAACAAACCTCTGAGAACTGGCACATCGGAGCTCCTTAGACCAGACCCACTGGTGCCTTGTCTCTCCCAGGGGCTCAGAGTATGGTAGATCCTATTGGGGGTGGTGGGGGCATGTATTTATACAGGGCCTTTCCTCTCTGATCCACCCTCTCTGTGTACAGCTCCAAGCACCCAGAGGTCCTAGGGGACTGCTATTTCAGAGCCTTATTATCTCACTGAATACTCAGATGGATTTATCTGCCATGAATTTCTCCATGTTCACCTTCTCTGCCTGCTGGCCAGGAGGGGCAAGAAGTTCCTCTCATCTGCTCCCTGTGAGGAAGCTATGGTGAAAGATGGGGTATAGAAAACCCCTCTGGACTTTCTTTATCCCAGGGAATATTTTATAGACCTGTGTCCTTTCTCCCAGGAAGGTGGACTCTTCTTGAAGGTGAAAAGCTCTAGTCTCCTTGATCTCTTCCATAGACCCCTCTCTATCCCTCTTATCAGCCTGATTGCCCTTCTCTTGACCTTTCCTACCTCTGTTACCTCCATTTGGGTGTGTGGGGTTGAAGTGGAATGAGACACATGATTCCAGGTGTAGGCATGCCATGCATTTATGTAGTGCCATGACGAGATGTTCTGTTGGCTTTTTATTCTGTCAGCATCTCTCCTCCTGGCTCTGGACTCCCAGGAGAGTGGTTACTCCAGCCATAGACCATGCTGAAAGACTGGGAGGGGGGTATATAGGTTGAGCACCATTGGTTTAACCTACAACCAAGGAATGGAAATAAAATCTCACAAGGACACATCCTTGGAAACCCAAGTGGGGCAGTAGAACATGGGGATGTGGTGGAATCTCCATCACCAGTGGGGTTTCCAGAAGAGGCTGGATGGGGAGTGGGGCCCATCTGGGATGGTTTATATGCAGACTCCTGAGTTTGGGCAGATGGTTGGATTTAATGGCCATTGAGGTCCCTTCCAATGCACTGGAACATGGTACCCAGAGAAATTATGGAGTCTCTATTCTTGGAGGTTTTGAAGACCCAGCTAGACAAAGCCTTGGCTTAGATGATGTAGCTGGGGCTGGTCCTGCTTGAAGCAGGGGGTTGGACTAGATGTGACCTCCTGAGGCCCCTTAAAACCCTCATGTTCTACAATTCATCCTAGAAAAGGGGGTTAGGAGTTTGGACACTTAGGTTATCCCCAGATCCAGCAGAACCAGTTGCTCTGGGACATGGTGGACTCTCCAGCACTGGTGGGTTTCCAAAACAGGATGCATGGAGTGGAGTCTAGGATGGTTTGTACACTGACTCCTGGGTCTGGAGATGTGGTTGGATTAGATGATCCTGGAAGTCCCTTCCAGTGCTCATTGTAGAACAGGGGATTGGGTTCCCAGATGCCTGGGTTCTCTCTCAGTTCCCAGCTGAATGGGGTCACGGTAGAGTCTCCATTGCTGGTGGGTTTTGAGAAGAGGTTGGAGGGGAAAGAGCTCTTTGGGGTGCCTTATGGCCCACCATATGGACTAGAAGATGTCATCATGACCCCTAAGGCCATTAACAAAGAGAGGTCATCATTAATGCCTGAAGAGTGGAGAGATTAGCAGGAATTGAGGACATGGTCATGAGCCATGGAGTCAGTTGACCCCTCCCCTCCTGCCCCCTGGTTAATTTGGTCAGTGATTTGGTGGTTGAGTCTTGCTTTTTGTTCATTGCTTGGTTTGGTCAGTTGGCTTTGGGGGGCCATATAGAATTTCTGTTGCTTCTTTTCTGGGGTTTGGGGTTCTCAGTGGCTTTTTTGGTGGTTTTTTGCTTATTTGTGGGCTTCTTGTAGAACTTTTATTAGGTGATTTTTTTAACATTATGAATTTTGTTGGTTACATGGGGTTTTTTTGCTTGGTTTTGGGGATACTTCAGCAGTTTTTTTTAATTGGTTGTTTCTTGGGATTTTTTGTGAATTTTCTTTTGCATGTTGGTTTGTTGCTTATTGGTATAATTTATTTGGTCCTTGGGCAATGTTGGTTTTTTTTCTACAGGGTTGCATTGTTTTTGATTTTCTTGGTTTTTTTGGGGGGGGTCTTGGGGAGCTTTTCTTGGGGGTTTTTTAGGGGTTTTCTGCTTTCATAGTTAGTAGGGTCGGAAGGGACCCGAGCAGATCATCAAGTCTGACCCCCTGTCATGGCAGGAAAGAGCGCTGGGGTCAAATGACCCCGGAGAGGTGTTCATCCAGCCTCCTCTTAAAGACCCCCAAGGTAGGAGCCAGCACCACTTCTCTTGGAAGTTGGTTCCAGATCCT